CAAATCTGTAGGAAGTTCTGTATCAGACAAATTGAGCTCCTTAATATTAGAGTCAGGAACTCTAGAAGGTTGTAGTGGACTGACAAGATAATGAGGAGGAAGTTTGACTATTCTTACACATATACATTTTTTCCTCTGCTGCTAATTTACTTAGCATTATCTACCAGACAAAAATGTAATTACCATCATCTAAAAATCAACAAAATATCAGTATACCTGACTGATATTATATACCTCTATACTACCTAGGGGTGCATTATAACTTGCACTCATGTGGCTATTTGCAGAAAGGCCAGAGGCTGCAGATTCAGTAAAGTTCCTGCTGGAGAAATAAGTTGCCTCCTAGGAGCCCAGATGACTTGACAGTAAATATGAAAAAGAAATGTTTAGCCAAGGTCTTCAGGACTATAGGAGTTACAGGGCTATGGGCAGCAGAGCATCAAGTAGAAATGACTCCCTCAGGACTGAGTCAATGGTCTTATTTTCCTTACAGAAGCATCCTGGAAACTAGATTTGCAATGGGCACATGATCCTTTGGTGACTTGTTTGCCAGGTGCAAATGCAATTGATATCACCAGTTTTTTAGACTATGTGTAGAAAGAACTAGGGGGCTCCCAATGAGAATGGAGCTATTGCTTGGAGTTTTTGAAGCTAATTTTACTTAATATAGGATCTGGCTTCTGTAAGTACCATTGTGTCACATGGTTCTGTGTTCTTTATCTCAGGTTCTGCTTTGCTCCCATCCTATCTTCTTCCAGAGTTTAAGGGTATGGAGTCTAATAACTTGTGTAGAATGCTCCAAGTCAGGGATGTCCAACCTGTGGACTGCGGGCCGCATGCAGCCCAGCATGGGTATGAATGCAGCCCAACACAAAATCATAAACTTACTTAGAACATGAGATTTTTCATGATTTTTTGAATAACTTGGTTGTGAGGGTCTTAACTGTGAACTTTGTAAATGCCAACATCATGTCACAATGGCATGTAAAATAAACATACATGTGGTCCCGCTATTTCTACGCATGCACGGCTTCCATTTTGCAGTGGCGTGCAGCTTCCAGTGCATTACCTTCCAAGCGCAGATGCCATCAGACGTTATATGTGCTCGTGGTGACTTGGTGAGTGAAACACAGCGATTATCAGTATTTCAACCCACCATTACAAACAATAAGTAAGCTTTCTTATTTGATTATTAAGGGTACTTCCACACCTTGGTGACACCTCATGCATCGCCCAATGCGTTTTACAATTGGCCCTGCGCCACACGCTGCATCAACAGCCAAGATGTGGGAGGACTTAAACCTTGCTTTCTATTTTCCTGTCAATTAATTTTCATAATAAAAGTAAATATAGTCCCTAGTTTGTTGTTTTTTTTAACCCCAGCATGGCTTCCACAACATTTCAAAAGACAACCAAAAAAAGAAAAAGAAAGAAAAGAAAAAAGAAAAGAGGAGAGGCGAGGCGAGGCGAGGCGAGGAAAAAGAAAAGAAAAAATTATGGATGAAGGAAGAGTGCTCACTGAAAAGTGGGCAGATGACTACTTTTTTGTTGAGGCAAATACTAAGGCACCCTGCTTAATATGTAGGGAATTTGTACAAGTTTTCAAAGACTATAATTTGAAAAGGCATTATATGCAAAAACATGTTGCCAAATTTAGTGTGTATCAAGGATTGTGTTGTAAGGGCAAAATAGCAGAACTGAGAAAAAGTCTTCTCAACCATTTTTTTTAAAGTTACAACTCAGACAGATTCTATTGTAAATGCTAGTTATGTAGTAGCATATTTAATAGCAAAAAATCAAAACCATTTACTGATGGTGAGTTCATTCAACAATGTATGGAAAATGGGGCAGATGTAATTTGCCCTGAAAAAAGGGGGATATTTCTAAAATCAGTTTGTCTCACCAGACTGTAGCCAAGCGAATTGAAGAAACTGGAAAATCTATTGAAAGAAGTTTGGAGAGTAAAGCTGCTAATTTTAATTTTTATGCTTTGGTGATGGATGACAGCACTGATGCTACAGATACGGCTTTACTTGCCATTTTTATCGGAGATATTGAAGAAATTGCTTCTTCAATGCCATTAAAATATACAACTAAATCAAGAGATTTATACAAAACAGTAAAGAATATGCTAAAGTGATTTTCTTTGTCCATGGTCAACACATCTGGTATAGTTACTGCTGGTGCCCCAGAGATGGTAGGTAAAAGAGAGAGACTTGTAAAATTAATAGAAGACAATGCAATAGCAGCCCAAACCTCATGTTTGATGAAATATCATTGCATCATACATCAAGAAAAATTATGTGCAAAAGCTTTAAAAATGGGTAACGTCATGCAAATCATAATTAAGACAGTGATTTCATAAGGGCCAAGAGATTAAATCATCACCAGTTCCAGGAATTCCTTAAAAGTTTTGATGCTGACTGACGACATCATTTACTTTTTAGAAGTAAGATGGCTAAGTCGAGGCCAAATGTTGGAGATTTTATGATTTGAGACATGTTATCAAGTCATTTATGGTATCAAAAACAAAATTTGTGCCAGAACTTGACAATGAAAACTGGCTTGCAGATTTAGCATTTTTAGTGTATTTGACTGCTCATTTAAATGAGTTAAACATGCATCTTCAAGGTGAAAACCGACTTATCAATACAATGTTTCGAACCATAACAGCATTCCAAATGGAACTGAAATTATGGCAAGCTCAAAGTAAGGAAAACAATTGTATACATTTCAACACTTAGGCTAAACAAAGTCCTGTGAACAGGGAAAAAGCTTTTCAATCTGATACAAGAATTTGAAAAAAGATTTCAAGATTTCCAGGAAAATCATCTCTATTTTGATATATTTGCCACTCCATTTTCAGTCAGTATAAACGTGTTGCCTGCCAATTTTCAAATGGAATGCATAGAGCTGCAATCTGACATTCAACTTAAAATAAAAATGTGGATGATGTCTCTTTACTGGACTCTTATAGGTCGTATCTTCCCAGAGACAAATATCCCTTGCTTCACAATCATGCCTTATTCATGGCCTCGCTTTTTGGCAACACCTACATTTGTGAGCAACTATTTATTTATTTTTATTTATTTAGAACATTTATATGCCGTCCTTTCACAGAGCCTCAGGACGGCTTACAAAAATGAGAATGAGAATTTTCAAGAATGAAGCACATAAAGTTAGAACCAAAATATCTGATGAGCATCTTGAGAACTCACTGAGAATTGCAACTACTTCCATCAAACCAGAAACTGATGCATTCGTTTCTGAAGTGGTGTCAATTATCAAACTAGTTTTATGCTGCCCTCTTTTCTTTTACCATTACAATAAAAATATTTTAAAAATCAAGTTTTATTATGTAGATATGTTCATTTTCTATATTAGTGATCGCAGACTTGGGACCTGATTTTAAAAGACTCTCCAAAGAAAATTATGCACAGACCATTGTTTTTGTTTTGCTCATCAGCTTTCGTTAGTTTTTGTGTGGCCCAAGAAAGTTTTTCTTCTTCCAATGCGGCCCAGAGAAGCCAAAAGGTTAGACACCGCTCCAAGTCTTACATTGTAGAAGATGAAACAAAAGGTGCGCCATAAACAAATCCCACAGGAAGACCGACCAGTACAGCTATCCTATGGCCACTAGACATGATCTGGACCAGGGGTCTCAAACTCAACTCACCTGGGGGCCGATGGAAGTAGAGTCTGGGTGAGGCTGGGCCGCATCAAGTATTCATCGCGGTGGTGGTGGGCCACTCATCCCGCGTCGCTCCCGGAGGCCGGCCCGGGCGCCGCTGGTGCTTTGAAGGCCGCAGGGCCCCTCCCCCGTGCCCCACCCCTCCCGGCACGCAGCTTAGAGGGAACATTGCGCCCAGGGTAACAACTCACGCAGGTGCGTGTGAGAAAAACACGCGGGCCGCACTGTCACAGAACTTTGATATCAAGTGGGGGCCACAAAATATCGTCCCACGGGCCACAATTGGCCCGTGGGCCACGACTTTGAGACCCCTGATCTAGACCATCAAAGGATTGCTGAGATTGCTACATGATCAGAAAATTGCTCCAACTTCACAGTTGGAGATCTGCATCCTCCAACAGGTGCAAACAAAACGGTGCCGATTGTGCAGTCAAGATCATAACAGCAAACAGATATGTGTTTTTGGGGGTGTTTCCATGGGTGCAGAGAAGATGCGATCAATGCCACCAAGCTACAAGGAATTCTGGTGGCACCACTCCAGCTCCCAGCCACCCTTAGAAGGCCATTGGGAGGAGTGAGGAGGCAATCACCCTCTTCCCGCTCCACAGAGGACACTCATAATCTTCCATGTTCCTCTCCAGTGAACTGCACCCTTAAATAACCATACTGAGGTTTTAAGGGGTTCCATTATTCTGTCAAACTGAAAATATGTGCACATTGTTAATTAGCTCGAAATAGGAATTTTATGGATTTTATATTAAAATCTTTAACTTCTGAAAATTATGTTTCATTTTTGTATAATGCATGGATTTCATGAAGATCTATGTACAATGGAGGAAAAAAACTAATTTTTCAAGGAACTTTGCATGAAAAATCCCCTAAGTCATTTTTGCACTGAGCCTGGAGTTGAGACAATGTATTTTATCTTAACAGAAGATATAGGATGGCTTTTGCAACACCTGCCCTGTTCCAAGTGCACATTGTCCCTCCGTCTCTGCATCTAAAACTATTTCATTTCTCCAATGTAAATCTGTCAGCAACTGATTTAATCTTCTATTGTACACTGATTAATTGTTCCTAGGTAGAATTACTATCTCTGCTTAGACGATTTTTCCTCAGAAGAAAAGCTCAGCCTTGTTCTTTGTCATTTGAGCAGTGCTCATCTGTACCCTCACTATGACTTCTATCTGGTACAACCTTGTTTTCCATTCAGCACAATGCATGTTGAATCCAGAACAGTAGTTGTGTTTGACACATAATAAACTGAACATAATGTCACTTTACTTGACCAATGAAGAATATATGTCACTTCTTCAAAAGAGTTTAATTTTATTCATATTTAAAGGAAAAAATATTTAACACGCTTTAGTTACACAGTTCAAATTTAATGTTAACTCAGGAAACCACCCAAGATTGAAAACAGCTAACCACACACTCATTCAAATAACTTTGTCTAAGAACATAGAAGCTGATGTTTTCAAAGCACAAAGAAATAACAAAGATAATTTACTAGCAGATAAATAATGGAGAACTTGACTGATATAATCGTAACAAGAAGCAAGCAGAATTTAAGTGGCAATTTCCTGTTTTGCAATTTAAATACGTGGCAATTTGAGATACAATTTATTCCTCAGACACTTTGGATACCATGTTCTTCATTACCTCTCAGCAGGGAAAAGTCCATACACAGTTGCATTTATTAGTGATGATTCACACATCATCAATTATAGACTGATGCAAAACAATGAAAACCACTTTTAGATCAGGGCAACAGCTGTGCACAAAAACTCTGGACCAAAAAGGGATTCCCATCATTCACTTCACTGCTGGGAAATATTCTCAAAGTCTGAAGTGAGTGGGCCGCTATTGCTCTCAGAGGGCAAACATCTCAATAACATCTATCAATATACATTGAACAAATCTTACTTGAACTTAAATCATCTGTAATATTCAAGTACATCAGCACTTTTCAAGTTCTAAGCTTGATCGACTTGGAAAGATTTGCCTACATGTAGACCAAAAACCATACAAGATTTTCTGTACATATAGAACAGAAACATTTAAAAAGCAAAGCTGATCTAAGAAGGGTCTTTGAAGATATTCAGAAATAAAGTAAATAGTGTACAGAAATGTATCTTAATCCAGAAAGTAAAATATTCCAAAGGACTTATGCTAACCACAAACTACAACAGACAGTTACAACTATCTGAAGAAAGGAAACAGGTTTAATTAGAAGGGGGCAGAATGGGGGGGGGACAGAAAAGAGATACACAAGAACTTCTCAGAGAAAATTCACAAGAACTGGTTTGCTTGCCACAAAAAAACTGTTATCAACACAGACATCTGTACTGAACAATACTCTCTATCTGAGGACAAACAAGCATTTTCCACAGTCTAGTATGTAATTATATTCCTTGCTTGGAATTGCATGTATTTTTGATCATTTGTTTGCTCGCTTCTCATACTTGTCCTTTGCATTTTGATTCCTGTTCCGGTGTCTAGGAGGAGAACAGCTGACTCTTCTCCTAGACCGAAAGCTGGGTTTGTAAGGATGTGATCTGTGTCTCTTTGGTTTGGTTTCTTCTCTGCTCTGAGTTGGCTCAGATTCCTTATTGTCTTCCTTATGTTTTGGTCCCTGGTCTTGTTCTTTTGGGGACTGCAGTGTATTCTTAATAGTATTAATAAGAAACCTTTTATTTGTACTGGCCAGAGGGCACTTCATCCTGCATGGATATTAGAGAGTAACAGCATAAATATCTAAAACAGACAAAAGTAAGTACTGTGAATATCCAAATCAAATAGCTCAAACTTTGCATGTTTTTGGCTTTCCTTGCATGCCACCTAGTGTACAGAAAGAAACACTCAAGACATATGCCTTTTATCATAAGCTTGAAAGAGAAGATCAAGTCGTTAGTTTTATGTATGTAACTATATATGTGTGTGCATGTGTGTGTAGTGACTTTGATACCAACACAAAAGCCATTATAGCCACACATCTAACTGTAAACTCTAGCAAGCAAAAGTTTATCCTACAATAAAATAGTTAGCTTTTAAGGGGTTCAACAAGACCCCTGTTTTTGCCACAACAGACTAACACAGCTGTGCTTCCCATATAAGCACAGCCGGAATTCAGAGCTGATACTTTTCAACTGTTTGATTCCTAAAATAAGAAACAGTCCAAAATGCATCTGTAAGCCATTACAGTTCTCTGTTTTCAGCCATTTTTATTTATTTTTCTTTCATTTATTTACTGTCCCTTTACTTTTTTTCCAGGGCTCAGCTGCTCCCATGGGGCAGGGACAGAACATAGGCGGCCCAGAGGCCGCAACAGAGTGTGCTTTCACATTGGGGATGGGGGTACCAGTCCTATAATTCCTGGGAGGGAACCAAGCTTTGCTGGGGCCTTTACAGCATCACTGTGAACTTCCCTGGTTTCAAAAGATAAGTGCTTGGGGTAAGAGAATGTTAAAGTGGAAATGGTAGAATCAGGCACCTTTGGAGGCACACAGCAGAATTCTTACACATTCTTAGTTGTTTCTATTCTTCTGGACCAGCATAACATCCTGTAGGAATTTCTTGCCAGGAATATCCCAAATTTTTTAAAGCCAATCTGATGATAAATGCTGAACATAATGGATTATGAGCAATATTGCTTTCAGACAAGTTATTGAATGCTCTGCCACAGTAAACAAATAAAATTAACTCTCAGTGCTTTCAACAGAATTTCTATACTTGCATGCTTAACATGGCAGCCAAATTACAAATAATTATCATGCAATTCAGGGGTGCCAAAGCATAGTCCTGGAGGTCAAATCCAACTCTCTTTGGGTCTCAATCTGGACCTCAAGGTTTCCTGATTCCTTTGTTCTCAAATGGCTTAGTTACTGAGAATAGTGCTGAGAGAGGTCCATGTGGCTATGGGTGGCATATAAATGCAACTAATAAATTCTTTAAAATGCTGTAAATTTAGTACGTGGGCATTTTTGGCCCTGTCTTCAGATCCACACACCAAAGCTCTAAAAAGCTTCTTTGAAATTTGGCCTTCAAGCTGAAAGAGGTTATGTGTCCCTGATTTAAATCAATTTAATTTAAAGTAATTTAATACAAGGCATATAGTACAATCCTATTCATGCTGACTTTTGAAGTAATTCTCACAGTGTCCAATGGAGCTTACTCACTAATAAGTGTGTTCAGGATGGCTGCCTTAGTATCTGCTTCTTTAAGCTATTTGTATTTTAGAAACGACCACCTTTGGTTAGCTCAAGACACAATCCTGGGCATGCTTAGACAGGAAAAATCCTACAACTCCCAGCATTCCCCATTTAGCCAGTCTAAACATGCATAGTTTGCACCTTGGAAGAACTTACCAGCCCATGGGCCCCATGGTCTCTGCTCTGGTTTTTCCACGCTTGGCTTCTGTCAGTAGTTCTTCCACTGCCTTCCTAAATATTAAAGTAGAGAAAAACTTTTAATTTGGCCAATTGTCCAGCTTTTTGAAACACTGTTATTTCTATCAGTTTTTCATGAACATGAAAGCTGGGGTAAACTACAGATCCATTCCAAACTCATAAAAGTGACTGTCCCAGAATCAAAACAACACTGTGAACACTGTAGGTAAAAATATCCTCAGTCACTTTATCAACTGCCTAAATCCCATGAATCACTAGACAGATACAGAGGATACAACTTACCCCCCCCTTTTTGATAGTCAAATTATCAAAAGAGGATTTATGAGAAAATGGGGAGAGGGGACACCCTGGGGTAGAAGGATTTCTGGCATCAATAACAAAGTGATGAACTTCCACTTAGATTTTCAGAAAAAAGTTATGCCCAAATGGACAGATCCCAGCATGAAAATTAAAATCCTATTCAACTTTGTTCTGTTACATTTAAGTTAGGACATCCAACCAAGTTTTTTGTAAAACTGATATAATTAATTTAAACAAAAAATAATACGAGTGCTCAGGCTTCTACTTTTTCTTGATATCTGTCATACCCAAACCTTATTCTGCCCTCATCAGTTTGTACATTTGCTACATGATGGGAAAATTATGCTTTAATTCCAGTAATTAAAACATTAATTAATGAGCTGGCTGAGGAACCCTGAGAGTTGCTGGCCTTTTTTCTTCTCCATCATATATAGATTCGCACCCTAATAAGGATAACCTATAATTTGTGAAGAACTCAGGTAATCCTGGCAAATGGTCCAGATAAGGGTTTTTACCACAGATCAGTGATGCTTGCTATCTACAGCATAATTACCTAGGAATTCATACAAATGTTAATGCACTGAAATTACCAATGTGGAAAGAAAATTTCCTCACTTCAAGCTTCAGTGATTCAACGATTTTATAAAGAAATATAATATTATGAACTCCATCTGCATGTGCACCTGTCATGCCCTTTTATCTCCTTTAAGAGCCTGCACATTCAGTGTATGAGCCAGAGTCTCCATGATAAAAAATACTACAGGACCAGAGAACTGCAGCTAAATGCATTAACCAATTTATTAAAATCCATGCAAACTACAGGACCTCATTCTCTAAACCTCTTTTCCTTCCTCAGACAACAAACATCCCCCCTACCCCCAGCCCCTAAGTAGATCACAGTGGAGAGAGAGACTCCTTTCTGTCAACAGTGCACATCTCCCTTCTGATCCTTCTCCTTTTAGGCACATTTTCTACCGTGCTTGTCCTCTCTCAAATCCATAGTTCCTCCATTGCGCATTTTGTTGCAAAACTTTTAGTCACTCTGTCTCTTAGAGTCGCTTCTTTGTGACACTTCCAGGCTGCTTCGCACAACTTCCCCACTCAATGGTTTCATACAAATCTCTTCTGCTTCTAGGCACTGAGATTTTTCCTCAGCCTCCACACTGGCCTTTCTTATCTTCAACTCACTATCTTCTTAAGCTATCTTTGTCCTTCTCATTTACCTATCCTTCAAGGTGGATAAAGCAAGCTCTTGGATTAAAAAATAAATTCTCTTAAAGAATATCTTGGTTAATTTTACAAAGTCTTTTGTAGACAGATGAGCACTGCTCATAGATGGTGCCTCCACCCAATTGCTGAGAATCAATTCAACCTATTCTGCCACACATGCACAGAATGATCTTAAGTAATTCTGCGGGGTTCCCCACTGTGTAACACTTTAATGCAGAAGTGGAATGAAAATGCAGAAGGGTCTGGGAATGCCACTTCTACCAGCCCATTTGCAAGCACCTAAATCTGGATCTAATCCTCTGAAAACAAACATGCAACTCTACAGTTAATCTCCAAAATGCACCAGTGCTATCTACTAAATCTGTTAAGGAGAATTTCCATGTAAAGGAAGAAAACGATCATTTATCAAATTTGAATATTTACATTCTACCTGACAAACATAAGCATTTCATTTTCACCTCATGAGAATACATTGCTGTACTCTGTCAATATCAGACCTTACTCTGATCTATCAATCACAGATGTCTAATTTTGTTTTCTAGTTTGCTTTTGTGAGGTGAGGCTGGATAAATGTAGAGTAAAAAAGGTGTAACGTTGCAAATGAAAAGACAAGGCAAAAGTGTCTGCTGTGCAAGTTCTTACATTAATCTCACAAAATATTTAAGTGATGGCTGCTGGTGATAAGACCTTACATGGGAATATTTTAAAGACAAACCCCTGCACAGTCAAAAAATCAAAGTCTGCAAAACAATGTGACAAATACATGCACGGTCTCACTGTAAGAATGAAACAACAGCAAAAAATATGTATCCAGATGTAATTTTACATGATTGAGAGTTATTCTCACTTTTGTTTAAGAAATATATGAAGTAGTATCAAAGAGAAACTTAATTTAAATCTGCCTTTTCTCCTTGATGATTTAACTCAATATACCCTCTCTAATATACCCTCTCTTTCCTTGGACACTTGTTTTCTCTGATCTACTGTTCCGAGGTCCTGTATGTAGCTTTTCAACACCAAACAAACTTATCCACCAAGATTCTAATCTCCTGGAGAGTTAAAATGTTTATAAGCATTCCATAACCTCAGTGCTAATTCAACCCCAGCTAAAGAACAACAAGGCAAGTTTTATCCAACCAGTACTTATTTATATAAATTTTGAGCTGCCAATTTGTTAACAGTTGTTCCAATTACCAAGTTATACTTACTGATACACAGTCCCCTTCAGATTTAAAGCATCTTAAATAATCTGGTTATCTGTGCAAGTTTTTTTTTTGTCCAAGGATTCTCATATGGTAAGGTGAGAGGGATATTATGGTACTACACTTGCCTGAGGTGATGCAGTTGATGGATCTGCACACAGAAAAGTGCAGGAAGAAATCAAGCTTGGAACTGTTTTTCTCCACAGAAGAATTCTGGATCAAAAGTTAATATTTGAGGTTTTGAGCTGAGTAACTCCATACTGATAGTCTGGTAACTCCACTGGATTGTTTTTTTTAAGCCTGAGCAAATTGTTTGGCTTTGGTCAGACAGCAATTATTACTGGGAGGAAAACCTATATCAATCAATCCTAACAAGTACAGAATCAGCTGATCAAAATACTTTCCCTGAGAAGAACCTCTGCTGAACTGTTGGCTTGCCTGCCTACGAGTCCTGAAACAAATGGTCCGTTTTGGCTGCTGCATGATCTCCTCAAACCTACCAGTCAGGCCAGAAACAAATGCCAAGTCTTTCAGAAAATCTGAATGGTATAGTTCTGATGCTCTGCAGGATGTATCCATTGCTTCAAAATGGCTCATGCCATCTTACTTCCTCTACAGCACGGTCCCAGCCAACATCAAATGCAAACTCCCAGCAAAACTGGGCTACCCAATGACCCACCAAATGATTGTCTGGAAATCAGTTATTACTATAAAGATTACATAGTTGAACTCTGTTTCTGAATTCCAGTAACCAAGGAAACTTCTTGGTTTTCCCAGAATCAAGATTTTTTTTTAGTTAACAGCTGAATTTTAAATTTTCATAAATGGAGGATCTACAACTGCCTGCTTTTTCCTTTCTGGTAGTTCTAGGGACCAAAACCACCATATCACCAGGTAGAGCCCAATCTGAATGCCTACATGCCTCCCCATATCACCATATGTGTCTGACTATGCAAGCAGCCTGTCTACAAAATCCAGTCAGTGTTCTTATTCTACAATGGCTCCTGCCAAACTGCTTTTTGCCTCATGAAGTAAAGTGAAAATCCTGAAAGCTTGCACATGTTCATCCTTGCTGTTGAAGAAGGTAATATTATATAGCTATATTATATATCCAAGCCTTATTATATAACTTATTTATATTAGTATATACACTGTATCTGCTGAATGCCTGAACTGGTCTCTGGAGACAGTTTTGGGAAGAAAGAGGACTGAGACTCAGTCCAAACAAGACAAAGGTACTGGGTTAGAGAAATTAACCAACCTAGGCAGAGGAATTCAGGGAGATGCATTCTCCTTGAAAGATCAAAGTGCACAGCTTGGGTGTGCTCCTGGACTCAACGCTCACTGGGAAGCTGAACTGGTGGTGCTGAGTGTTTCTACCCACTTCAGCTAGTATACAGTCTGCAACTCTGCAATTCCCCAGAGAGGTCCGCCTGGCGCCGTCATTATTTGTTTTTCGGTGCCAGGCCAAGACCTTTTATTTAAAAGTTATTTTAATTGTTAATTGTAGATTGTATTTATTTATTGATTTTTATATTTATGCCGAGATGTCTCTGGATTTTTAAGGGTATTTGTATGATTGTTTATATATTTGTTTTGTAAGCCGCCCCGAGGCTTTGTGCGAATGGGGCGGCATAGAAATGTTCTAAATCAATCAATCAATCAATCAATCAAACAAACTCTGTCTGGAGAGAGAAGACCTTGCCTAGGGTATTCATGCTGTGGTGACATCCAGGCTTGACTACTATAATACTCCCTATGCAGAACTGGCATAGACAGTGGTACCTCGGCTCACGAACATCTCAGTTCATGTCCAAATAGGGTCACAAACAAAAAATTCATACAAATTTTGACTCAGGTCACGAACTCCACATTGGGTGGCGACCGCAATTGCGGCCATCTCCTCATCCCGCCCCCAAGTGGGGAGATGGCTGGGATTGTGGTGATGCTCATGTAGGGAAGACAGATGCAATTGCGGTTGTTCTCGGGGGAGTGGGGTGGCTGCGATTGTGCTGGGAGGGGTGGTCAGATGGCCATGACTGCGCCTGTCTTTCCTGCATGAGTGCAATCGCACCCGTCTCCCCCCAGCATGCCCGTGATCGAGCCCGTCTTCCCTGTGATTAAAAAAAATATTCACAGAATGGATTAACCTTATTTACATTTAACCTTATGGGGAAATTTGACTTGGCTCATGACCAATTTGGGTCACGACCAGAGTCGTGGAACAGATTGAGTTCATGACCTGAGGTACCACTGTAATTGGAAACTTCAGAATCCGGCTGCACAGGAACTGGTGGGGCCTGGGCAGTATATTCCCATAATACCTATATTGCATCATTCCACTGGTTGCCTGTGCAATTTCTAAAAGCAATTTAAAGTACTGGGTTTAACTTCTGAAGCCATGATTAGTTTGAGTATAAGTTAATTAAAATACCACCTTCTCTAATCCCAGCTTGCCTGTGCTCTGACTCACCACCAGTGGCCTTTCCCAGGTGCTAGCTGATGAAGACAGTTAGGGTGGTGAATAGAAGGCAGAGGGTCTTTTTCAGTGGTGGTTTTGCACCTCTGGAATCAGTTTCCATCAGGGGTTCCCTCATATCCCTTCTTTGCAGGTCTTCAAGAAACCTCTTTAGAGTCACTTTTTCCCACTGCCTTTTTTCTAATCTGCAGGCTGCAAATTTTATTGCTGCATGCTCTTATAAGTACTTTTACAGTATTTTATTATATATTCATTTATTGCCTATTTGTATAAGTGTACTGTCACATTGTTTTATCTGGTGTACTATCATGACAGGATTCCACCCTTAAAGGGACCAAAAATAACTTAAATTAAAGCAAAATTATAATGGATTTGGGGATTTTTCTTATGTCCAACATTGCAGTTTTGTTGTTGTGGTTGTCCTCTGCATGTATTCTAGCAATATCCTTTTTGAGGTGCAGTAACAAGAACTATCCACAGTATTCCAAGTGAAGCTGCAATGTAACAACAGAGCTTGCTCCCATAATTTTAGGGAGACATGTGGGAATAAAATCCACTGAGCTCAAAGGACTTACTCTGGCATCAAAATGAGTTAGCATTTTGCTTAAAAGACATAAACACTGCCACACTAATGTTACAATTGTACGTCTCTTTACTGGGACAAATTGCACTGAATTCAATCTGATTAAAAGCAGAGCAGAGTAGAGATGCATACATTTTAACTGAGGCTCAACTGAAGATCTGCCACCACAAAAATAAATGTTGCACTCTTGTGGTACTTTGCCAGGAAAAAAGAGTAAAACACAGAAGGCCTCGGCCTCTTCCAAGCTTTGAACATCACTAATGAAAAACAGACATAGGGCACAATTCTATGGACTGGGTCCTTGATATTTATATGCTGCTGATCTCAGAGCATCCAATGTAGAATGTAAGGTGGAGCAGAAGAAATATCTGCTCCCTCAGTTCCTGCTTCAAATTTTAGCTAAGCTCCAGCCATCTAACTAAGGTGTCTTGGAATGTCCATTTTATGCCTTTTTAAAATGTTCCAATGTGTTTTTTTCTGTTTCGGTTGAAAAGGCAGAGGAAGCAGACTGGACTATGGTGAGAAGTGGGAGCTCACATTTGGGAATCTAAAGTGTCCTAGCCCCCCCCCCCCCGTTGATGCCTAGCATCCACAGAATCCCTCTCTTAAGCAACAATAGCAATAAAAGAATGGATTGTCAGTTCAGAAAAAAAGATGTAGTGGTGGCCATCAATCTGAATGGCTTGAGAACAGGGTTAAAAAAATTCATGGAGAATCAATGGCTTTTAGGCCGTATGTCACCTCCAGAATCACAGATAAGAAGCCTGTGCACACCACTTGCTGCCAAACGGGAAGGGAAGGGCCTACTGTGGATGCCCCATAGGCAGCTGGTTGGTCACCCAGTGTGGCTCATTTATGGCTTCTGCTCCCACTCTGAGCCTTATGCCACTCGAAGCAGGAGGGTTTAAAACTCAAGATCTTGACGTGCAGCGAACGCCAGGCTCCCGCCCGCAAGCCTGCTTCTCCGGGCATCCGCTGCGTCACAAGGCCTACGAACTCACTTCGGGCTTCAACCCCACACACACACGAACCCCTAAGGCCGACTTCCGAGCGGGCAGCCCATGGGGACCTTTCATGTGCAATGAAACGTGCCCTTGGGGGCTGGGTCATATACGTGCACTTCCCCTCGCCCCTTGGCCTACTCCGGCGCTCGGGGCCGCTGAAGCGGCTCTGGTGGGCCCAGGGCGGTGAACGACGGCAGCGGCTGCAAGGGAGCGTTGCTGGGGCCCCTTCCGGCGCTTCGCTGACCGACCCCCTCGCTCTACGCGGCGAGCCACCTTCCCCCTCCCCTGCGCCGGCCCGCGGCCCGGAAGCCTCACCTCTCCAGCTCCGAGTCCTCCGCCATGGCGGGCGACGATCGGCCGGTGTCGGGCTGGCCGCGCGCGTCGATCAAGCGCCGGCCTCCTCCATGTCTGTCTTCCGCGGGAGCGAAACCAACGCAGAGCTCGCGACAAGAGCTCCAGCCGCTCGCGAGGACCCCGAGAAGGGGCGGGTGCTGCCCGCCTTCCCTCCGCCCTTTCCCTGGGGCTCCCGGGGTCAAAGCTCCACCCCTTCCCGGGGCATCCTTTCACACGTTACGCTCAGCACTTGCCACAGAAAGCGCGCAGAACTTGCTTCGTTTCTGACACCGACACACAGGCTCGTCTAACTTGAGCCCCAGTCCTTTCACTGGGCTTACGCTAAGTAGGATGAACACTGGATACAACACTTTGCCCTTTATGTCTGTAAGGCCCCCTTCTGATGTTACTCAGGCTGCAATCCTACACATGATGGCAGTGGTGCTGTGCCTGTAAAATGCAAAACTGCACATGCTCAGAGTGTTGCTATTATTTATCAGAGTTGGTCAACAGTCATGTTTTTCCTCTACCATGGGTGAACACTTGTGGCCCTCTGGATGTTGATGGGCTGTAACTCCCATCACCTTTCGGCCTTGGCTATATTTGCTAGGTCTGATGGTAGTTGCAACTGAATAACATTGGGGTGGGGGCACAAATAGGCCAATCCTAATAACATATCAGGAATGCAGACACAGCTGTAAAGTATAGAAAGGTGGTTAGGCAGGGAGAAACGTTGGCTCCTAATTCACAGCTTAGTTTTCTTAATGTTGAGTTTCAAGCCAACTTTTGCGCTGGTCTCTTCTTTCACCCGCATCAAGAGGCTCTTTAGTTCCTCTGTCACTTTCTGCCATTAGAGTGGTATCATCTGCATATCTGAGGTTGTTGAGAGCAAAATCAGGTTATACAATCCTGTCATTCAATACCAAAGGTATTTCAACCACAAGTCTCTCTCAGTGGTCAAGATATACAGGAAGTTTAATTTTACTTTCTTTTATTGCTTAATGGCTATATGTTTGTATCCTGTTTGGATAGAGCACGATTATCAGACTTTTTATATTATGCATTTTTACCAGCTTACTTGTAGCAATGCTTTGTTGCTTATAAAATTGCAAAACTACTCTGGCTGAAATCTTATGTATGCATGCAAGTCCTATTGAACACAGTGGGGCTCATTTTTGAGTCAGCATAGGATTTAACATTTTCAAGGATTAAGGCAGGGGCAGGCAGGAAGTAGCTTTCTTGAAGGATCTGCAGCAGATTTCCAAGGGTTTTGCAGTCCTGTTGGTTTTTTAAAAATGCAAATAAAACTGCAACTGGGTGAATTTGGGCCAGTCATAGACTCTCAGCCCAACCTACCTCACAGGGTTGTTGTTGTGGGGATAAGATTTAGAGGAGGAGGAGAATTATTTAAGCCACCTTGCATTTTTTCATCAAGAAAAAGGTGGGATAGAAATCAAATAAATAAATAAAAACACAGGCTCCTGGGGAAGGGCAGTAGGTTATTTGCTCTGCTCCCTCAATCACAATTTTGTATCTGGCTTCACCTTCTCAACAACTATTTTCTGTTTTGCTTCTTGCTAGTGCATGTCTGGATTCTAGCAAAAGACAAAACAAGACAAAATGCAGAAATCCCACAAACCTGCAGTCTGCCCACTCCTAGATTAGAGGCCAGCAGTTGGAAAAGACAATTGAAACACCTTTAGAGGTTAGGTGTTAGTCCACAAAAAGTTATGCTACAAGTAAATCAGTTTAGTTTAACAAGATATGAGACAAAACATGACTACTAGTTCTGTTACAGGTGGCAGTTTTATGCTCATGGAGGTTTGCAAATCACACTCACATTGACCAGATGGAGCAGGGAAGCCATAAGCATATTCTGCATAAATGCATCTTCTATAAAGGCTGCAGAAAATATACTCATATGACAAGCATGTCATCCAATGTGGCTGCCACTAGTAATATAGACTTCCAAGCAAGCATAGGAGGAGCATGAGGGCAAGGATTCTCTCCATACATCTCCTGCCCCAAAAAGATAGAGCCATTTTTGTGTGTCTTTATGTTTTGCTCTGGTTCGCAAGGAGGAGAGGCTGAAACATGGCTGGGATTCCTTGTATCCCAGCAGAGCCTCGCTCTTTTCCTCTCTGCATCCCAGACTGCTCTCCTCCGCAATGCTGTCTCCAAAGTTACACTTGCAGCTTTGGAGCTGCAGTTGGAATGAAAAGAACCATGTTACATGTGAGGGCAGGGGAGGACACTCTTTGGTTAGTCCCAAGCACAACTTCAGACTTGGAGCTGGGACCTCAATCCTCCGAGGCAACAACAGTCGGTACATATCATTGACTAAGCAGACCCAGTGAGGGAAGGCCATTGACTTCCATGTCATCTTTGTCATCTTCCCAAGGAAACTGACCAGCCACTACAATGGAAAACAGGATGCTGGCCTTGGATCAGAGCTATAGAACCTCAGGCCTGCTTGTGCTAGGTTCCCAGATGGCAATCCCTTTCTTCCCCTGGCTCTACCTCCTTTCCAGGGCTTCCCAATTTTTTTCAGTTCCACTCACCCCCAATACCAAAAGGTTGAAATGCCTCTCTTAAGGCTAAGTAACTTACAGTAAGAGATTTATGATGTGACATTCAGGGGTTTCAGGGTATTTTGGTCCCACACTTTTGACTCCGGGCCACCCACCACTGAATCTGCCCCACATGAGCTCTTCAGAAATAGACTTTGCTCCTTCAGACTGCAATGGGTTCAACATTCCAGCCTTCTATCAAAATGTTTGGTCTGGTCCATCAATAGAGCTGTATTTTGCTTTTACATGGCCTTCTTCTATCAATTATAATAGTTTGTGTAATTTTACTTATTTTAGCTAGAGGGCCTAGTTGATTCCACGTGATCAGGGTTTATGTAATCTTGATGTAAATATTACCTTTTGTATTGATATCTATTATCTTTTTTCAATGTTTATTTTGCGACAGTCTGACGACTACATATACGCAAATACACCGATCTGATCGATCTGCTTTCCAGGGGCTTATGTTATGATGCAAACCTGACCAGTTCCCCAGAGTTTTCTTTGGAGGCCCACCTACCAACATTGCATTGCAATGACCCGATGATCCAAATACTACTCTAACATACCCTAAAAGAAACAACACCCCTCATTACTCCTCCTTGCTTCATTAGCCCCGGCTCTTCTTCAGACAATGCCTACACCATCCCGTTTGCCCCCGCCTCCGTCATCCTGCCCGCCCCGACGCTTGCTTCTCCGCGCTCCTTGCCCTGCTGTTCTGGATCCAGGAGCTGCCTTCTTCCATTGCAATCAGGCGAGTGACAGGGACAACCCCGGAGAAAGCGCGGCCGAAGCCCGCCCCGGCGCGGCTCCCATAGGTTGCAGGAGCCTGCTCCGGCGGCGCTGGGGCGGTCCTGAGTGGCTGAGACGCGCCTTCGCCGGAGCCCCGGGGAGGAGGAGGAGAGGAGGAGGAGGGGCAGGGCAGCTTCTAAGTCCTGCCTGGAGTTTGTCTCCTTCCAGGAGACCCACGGCGGCGGAGGAAGCGGCGGCACTAGCCGCCGAGCGAGAAGGAGGAGCCACGGCCGCTACAGCTGCGGCACGGCAGGCAGAAGTGAGGAGCTGCCGTTGCTGCTCTGCGCTGCCCTTCGGAGAACGATGCATGGGACGGTGCAATGAGACGGGAGCGCCGAGCTCCTGCCCGCCAGGGTGAGTAACTTCGGTGGGAAGCTTGCTCCGGCTTGCGTGGACCTGGCCCTCGGCATCCTCGCGGCTGCTCTTTTCCCTGCTCCGTAGAGATGTCTCCTCCTGTATCCTCCCGCGCTAGGGACCTGGGGCGTGCTTGTTTCACAAGAAAGCCCCGCGCCCGCTCCCCACGGTCCCCAGCTCCCCCGGGCACTGCGGTTCCAGACTGTTCCTTCCTTGGGAATGTTTGGCTCCGGCTTCCCCGTCGCTCTCTGCAGTGACTGCTGCCCTGTGCCTCTACCCCATGATCAGCTGCGCTGCCCGGGGCTCCTCGGTGTTCATACCTTTTCCCAGGGTTGCGCTTTGATCCGCCTGCACCTCCATTCTCAGCTCTCGCCTGCAGACAGCCTTGTGTCATACAGTCGCTCATCAGCTCTTCCTTCGGGCGTTTCTGTCCCAATTTTGTCTGCTTCCTAGCCGCAACACAAAACAGTTTAGTAGAGGTCCTCCGGGTCAGCGAAGAAGCTACTAGTGATGACTGCTTGCTACTGGACCAAATGAATGACTTTCTCCACCCCCGCTCTCCAAAATCCAAGTAGAACTGGGTGGAATGGAAATCCATGTAATTCTTCCAAGAATGGAGGTTAGGAGTGGGATGCGCGTTGGTTTGTTCTAGATTTTTTTTAGGTTGGGAGTGATGCTAACATGGCTTTTTCTTCCTACTGAAAAATAATCATTGTGTCATACAGGCTGTTTACAGTGCCCCCCCACCTTCAATTTGATTCAAAATTTATGATATTTATGACAGCGATCTCCATAGCACCAGGTCTGATAAAGCCAACAGGCTTGTAAAGTGATGGTTCTCAAAAGTTTGTGAAGCAGGCCTCTTCAAGAAGGCACTACTGGCTGCCAGGATATAAATGGACCAGTCCCATTTTTTAAAGACCAATTTGGGTGTCTGTGTTAAGAGACAGAAGCCACAGTGGACACTTCTACCTGGTTCTGTCCTGTTGGGCTAATGGCACCCCCATGATTGTTGTGCTATGCATGGCCTTTTTACATCCATTTGGTCCCGTAACTAAAACAAAGCTTCTCCCCAGTTGCAGGTGCTGGTAGTCTTGGTCTCTTATTTCTGTTCTAATCTGCTGGTTCACCAGACTTGAGTTGAAAAGGACAATTTCAGTTGAACTTCTTTCTTTATTTTGTCTTTGCTGATTGAGTACCTGCAAGAATGTTGCCCTTAAGGAAGCTTAAGGATCAAAACAGTAGATAAACCTCATATTTACAGATCCCATGAATGGGTTATCCATCTAGTGACAGTGACTACTGGAGGAGAGTATGGCACAGGGAGCAAAGTTCAAACAGGTGAAATAAGCAGATGAATTCCAAACGTAGTACTCCTAAACTTTTTACAGGTAAGAGGTTTAGAAACAGCTTGTTGTTTGGGGTGTCCAGCCAAACAGCTGTGACCACTCTCAATTCTCAAATGATGGGCAATGTTAGGCCATAGCCTGGAGGATCTCTGAGCTTTAGATGTGTGCAGGGGTCCTGTCCATGTGGGGCATTGGGAAAGGCTGTATAGTGGGGCATGTAAGTGCATGGCTGATAATGTTTGAGCACTGAAAGTTCCTTCTGCAATAAGAGAGGAAACTGGTTCTGAGCCATAAGTATGAGGGAAGACTTTTTTGGGTCTCCAGAATCCTAAAATCCAGAGACATGGGGTGCTGCTTTTCCTCTTCAGCAGGTAAAATAGAGCAAACACATTCAGGTTTGGGAGATACCTAACCTGCCCGTTTGAGGTGCCAGTCAGAGAAAGCAGAAAGAGGACAGGGTCCTTTTTCTTTCCTGATTTGAACAGGACACTAAATACTGGAAGGATCTGGACTCAGGCTCACAGGACAACAACAAAAAGCAGAAATTTGCATATGTTAATCATTTGTAAGCCACCCAGAGAACTTTCCGGTAATGGAGTGGCATAGAAGTGGAAACAAATAAATAATCTGTACACACCCTATCTTTGGGTATGTACTTAAACCCCTCTTTGCAATAGAGAGGGGGCAGTAGGAGGTGAAACCCATGTGGGCAAACAGCCAGCTAATCCAGGGGTTCAGATCATTAAGGCCTGAGTACCTTAATTTCAGCAAGTGTTCCTGCAAATCTAGGTGGCGGAACAGAAGACCTCCCAGAGATTTGGGACTCTAGCCCTATTGATGGTCTCTGAGTATGACCCCCATTGAAGGAAGTGGAAAAAAGCTGGATCTTTTGCATTCAAAGCTCTGGTCTTCACAGGTTTAGGTGAGAGAGAAGTAGGAGGATGTTGGTTATACTTTAAGACGGGTCCTCAAACTATTTCAACAATGGGGCAGTTGAAAGGTGGCGACGGCAGGCATGGGCCAGTGATGTGTGGGATGCCTGTGGCCGCAGGCAGGTGAGGAGGCGGTGGGCGGGCATGTGTGCAGCGAGGTGGCAGCGAGTGTGCATGCAGAGAGGTGGCGGCTCGCTTGCTCAGAGATCTCCGAGCAAGTCCAAAATGATCTCCGAGTGAGCGAGTGTGTGCGCGGCGAGGCAGGCGGTGGCGGCGCGGCCAGATCCAGCCCACGGGCCATAGTTGGAGGACCCATGCTTTAAGACAAGGGGTATCACTGAGGTGACGAGGTAGGCTTGGAAACTTTCTCTTTGTACCTCTTTTGAGGTAAAGGTTGCCTTTACATTCCAATTTAGTTATGATACCGTACTAGAGAATCTGGGTTCAAAGCTTTAAAAGGTGTGGGCGAAAAGAAAAAAGAATGTTTAAACATAATACTGGCTAATAATTTTTCCTATACAGGAAGGCTAAGATCACTTGATAGCACTGTGCTCACTGTTCTAGTTGGTTCAGCAACATTTGCATGTTGTATGAAACCGTAAATCTAGAGTCCCTCCCCTCTGGCCAGTTCCAACTATTTTAGGGCACAGTCGTTTAGGGCACTGAGAAGTTTGATCTCCTTGTGATGACTGGAACATGCATTCATCCGGTCAATGTGGGGTAATTGGTCATCCATTATTACAACACTTTCTCATTTGGAGGCCTCCCTGATTTTGTTTTCCATCTCAAGATTACCTTAAGCATTCTGGTCTGCAGGGCGACAGTGTTTTTCTACTACTGAATTAACTGTGGAGCCCAGTATTGTTACCCAGAGCATTTCTGTGGAAGAGGCTGTTGCTTATGTTTTGCATTCTCACTTTACCTTCTTTGACATAAAGAGTAAAGCTTCCTTCCTGGTCCTTCTGTGGAGTTGATATGCATATTCCATTGGTTCTCTCAATACCAGCAAGTTTCTGTAGTATGCATATTATGTCTAGGTTCACCTTTAAAACCAGGTTTTCCATCTTGACCTGGAGGCTTCTAGCACTTGCATAGGAGCACCTATTCACGATGTTCCTCCCCACGTATCTCTGGCATGTGCACCTTTTGCTATGGCATTTAGGCCTCTTTGATGGGCTGTCATTTTTCACTGTATGCTTGTACCTATTTCTAACCCTTCTGTGTTTGTGCTATCAAAAGCAGTTTCATCTTCATGACTTAAGAGATATTTCAAGTCAAACCAAAGGTTTTCCAGACCTGTCAGCTTTTTCTCTGAGTACAGTATAAAGCAGTGGTGCCATCTTTTTATGCATAGTGCCAGTAATCTGGTTCCATTTTGTTTCAAGTGGAGCATGTCTTTCTTGTATTTGGTGCCAAACACATTTCAACCCCTGTTCCCTGCACACCATCTCATCTTGTCTAGTAAGCCCTGTATGTCGAACAGATAACATTTCAGAGAAAGCTATATTGATTGGCCTGGATTGCAGCATATTCCGTGCAAAAGGAAGACATTTGAAATTTAGCTACTAGAACCTCTTCAGTACATTTCCCAGATTATTTGTACCAATATTGTCCACATCAATTGACTCCACCCCAAAATTATCTATGAAGCTATCTAGATGGTGCACGACATCCGCAACCTTTGCAGTAAACAGGCAGATTACTATGGAGGGTACATTCCCATCAGAAACCCAGCTGCCTATGGGTCTATTGATAGAATCTTGCACTAATACAAGTCCCCTGGCAGCTCATTCAGGGGCTGTTTGCTCATCTTCTGAGGAATGAGTCTCTTCTAAGAAATCATTTCGCTGTTCCTCAGAATGACATCCTCCTTTATTGAGACACCTGTTTACTGTGACAGCAGAGGAGCTGTCACCTGAGGATGGGGACATCATCATCATCATCATCATCATCATCATCTTTAATTTGTTGAGTTTCTTCCTTTTGCATGGAACCCAAAGTAGCTCACAAATTTTTCTTCCTTTTCCTTTTATCCTCACAGCAACGACCATGTGGAGTAGGCTAGCTTGAGAGTAAGTGCCTGACCCAAAGTCATTGAGCAAGCTTCGTGACCAGGGGGGAGTGGGGTAGAACCCAATCCTCCCAGTCCCAGTCCAACACTCTAAGCACCACAGCACCCTGGCTCTCTTATAGGTATGAATGTACAGTTACTGTGGGAAGTAAAGGAAAAGTTGACTGCACTGGCCTTCTCTTACTGTTGCTAAACTCATGAGAGTGCTTAACTCGCTTGTGTAGTGGTGCTTTGTCATTGGAACTCCTTGTGCTCAAAGAGCTGGCTCCATGCAGGCCTGCTTCCTTCGATATAGCTCTGGTAAGGTTGCTCCAACAGCTGCTGCAGCCAGTCTGATTAGAGGGCCACATTAGAAGAAGGATGTAGCTGGACTTATGGTCTGTAGTAGGTTGAAATGAGTGGAAAGTAGGTTAGTTAATCCCACTGGTGGTGGAGATTTTCTGTTCAGGAGAGATGACAAAGTTAGTGAGTTCTTTGAGGATGGAACAGTCAACAGGTAGGTCATTTGAGAAGTGATGTGGTTTGCAAGGGCTGAGTCTGTCTGTGCATGTCTGTGAAACAAATTGATAAGTTGCACTCTTAAAGTTGGGATGCATCTCTTTTTGAGCTCAAGTTTATGAGCTGTTGTAGAAGATCTGTAAACCTGAC